TTACAAGCCATACGTGTCAATGGATTTATTTGTATGGATTTTTTCATCGATTAACTAAATTATAAATCAAGATTCCAGATAGTCATAAACGCAAACTAGCAAAGTCTTAACTTTTATAACTAGAAAACGAAAATCTAAAAACTRATACAACTCAATCCACAAAATATGCTGATAATGAGATAATGATGTATAATGTAGACAAACGACGACATGTAGGAAGTAATTTCCATTTTATTTACTTTGATGGAATGATAATTCGATAGTTTAAAGGCCAAGGATGTAACCTACAAAAACAAAAATTTTCAGGAGTGACTATAATTTTAATAGTTTTGTAAAAACAAGATTTAGAGAGTTAATTTTTTTTATTCAAACGTTCAGCAAAAATATTATTTGTGGTGACATTATACTTGAAAATGTGTGGTTACATTGATATTTGGCCTACCCACCATGGTATATGACATATTTTGTATGCCCGTAGAATTATCGATCGGTTACATTCTTATTACTTTATTAGTCTATAGTTACTAGTTACTATAATCGATACTCGATACTCTAAAATAGTATCGATAAGTACTCAGTAACTCAAATACATTCAAAATACTTGAGAACCGTATTCGACTAATTACCTACCAATAAACAATTTTATTAAAAGAACACGTCATAAATAAGTATGAGATTTGGATGATAAATCAATAATTATACTTATAGCATTCTTCAACATAATACAGGTATATTTTACTATATTTACATTTATTATCCATGTAATAAAACTTTTGATTAATAATTATATACATTATCTATGTAGGTACACTAATGACACAAACAGATTTTTTACCATGTAATTTCGATTATCATGAGTAGGTACTTTGTAAATTGATTGCTTAATAAAATCTCAAAAGCAATTTGCATATCCGTACGTATTATATTACAATATATTATATATAATTGATAATTTGAATAGATAAAAAAAATTCATTACAAAATCGAACTCCCTAAATATTATTTACAAATTTTTCACTTTGGACATTTTGTCAAGTTATGTATTTATTATAAAAATCGTTACAAAGAGTACCAATATTGTGACTGAAAGTAGTGTGACTTATTATTTCATTTTATTTAAGTACTCAAGTTCTTATTTCGATTAAGTATTCTAATGTATAGTACGTGCTATAATACGTATGTAAATTATGCATGGAATATGATTATCGTTTCAATGATATGAATATTTATAATTTTTTTTACGAATATAGAACCCCACATTATTATTAATTCGTTCAAGTTTAAAAACTTATTCCTAATATAATATTACGTATTTATTTGGAATGACGTATATTAATTGTAGCAACACATTTCCGGTTGGATAATTTTTCCAACTGTAATTAATATAGGTCAATATACATTTTAAAGGTCATTTTTATTAGATGTTTTAATTGTATATTTTGTCCRTAGCCCTAATCTCTAATTATAAAATATTGTTTAAATATCTACGTATTATTGTAATTGGAATAAAGTTGCAGGATTAAATATTATTTTCCTTCTATGAAAACACAGATTTTATACAGCTTAATGCAAAATATTGATAGCAAAAATTATCRTAATTTATATTTATATATATATTATGTATTTATGTGTTTATTTTTTATTTGAATGAGCCACAACAACAAAAATTATTGGCTTTATAATAATTGAAAAAAAAGGGCTTACATGTTTTATATTTTTTCACAGTATCATATAAGCTTTTATAAATTGGTTAAYTTTAAGTGTTTAAGATTTTTTTCAAAATTGTCTGGATCAGGACCTATCTTGTGTGAAGCGACGTAAAATTTAATCAAAAAATTACTTTGAATATCGTTTTGTGTCCGTATAATTTGTAAGTACCTATAGAGCGTATGATATTRTTGATAATTTCTTCTGAAATTTCTGAATACTTGCAATAACTATGTTTGAAAGTAAACATTATAGGTACCTACTATAATACTTTATGGCTTATGCGGCCATACAGGTATGGCACCACGGGGGCATATTAAATAATCTAAATAAAATAATTATAAATTTAATAATAAGTAATTATGTATATGTTACTCACGTATAATATAAGAACACACGACCGAAATATCGACAGTAGCTACCTATTAATGTATTGTTATAATTTATTATATGTTGTAATACACCTATAATCTATATAATATTATATCGTTACAGCCACCGTTTCACTATGGTTTCTGGTGTTCGCCGGGTTCGCGTGCAACTACATGATACGCATCAATCTCAACATCGCCATAGTCGACATGACCACGGCGAAGAGCCGAGGTCGGAGTGTACTGATGTGTGGCAATTCCACAGACGGTTTGAATTTGTCCGCCGAAAAAGATTTCGTTGTCAAAAAAGTAATAAGCAATCTGTAATTTTTCACGATACGGTGATAATTGATTTTATTGTTATTTCAGAAAGATTTCGAGTGGAATGACAGTGAACGGGCCAGYGTWCTTGGATCGTTTTATTGGTTGCACTGGGCGTTACAGTTACCGGGAGGGTTGCTCGCGCGACAGTTCGGCGCTAAACGCATATTTGGCCTCAGCAATTTGTTCATGTTCGTCATGTCTCTGTTGATGCCAGTCCTCGCCCAATGGGACATAAAAGGACTCATCATAGCTCGAACGTTACAAGGGTTCATCGGAGTAAGTTCTACACTTTTCTCATTCACATATAGGTAAGTCGTAAGAGGGTACCTACGCAAAACGTAGGTACCTGATATGCGCATGTATTCATTTTGCGATTAGGATAGTGTCACAATTTACAGCACCACCAGGATATGACGATGTCTGATTCGGAGGTCCCTRTTATGAAGAATCTCCCCCATGTCTTACGTGTGATCATAATTTTATCCCCTCAGAGCARGAAGATTATATATTTTATTAGGAATAATGTGTACATTTTGATTATTTTTCATGTAAAACGACAACAGTAAAAATATATGGTAAAATCTRCAGGTCATAATAAAACAAATAATTCAAAACAAGTGAAATAATATTTCTTGTTTAATTTTTAATTATTATTAAAAAAAAAAACTCTAGAGAATTAAAACAGATCTAATCTTAAACAGTTGGGTAGAATAGTTTTCTAAATTTTTTAGATGAGAACATTTGTTTTAAAAATCAGGGTTGGTTTAGAAATAGAAATGGTACCGTTGACATGACTCGTTTATGTTAATCTTGAGGATGGCTTTCAATCCTGAGACATCCAATTGATAAAATGTTCGCTAATTCATATCTCATTTATACGAAAAGTTCTGCTTCGAGTTTCGATTAGATCGTTACTGCTTGGCAGTCAGCAAACAAATTAATGTACTCTATGATTATATGACAATTTGAGTGCGAGTGATCTTAGCACTTAGCATATAAATATTTCTATCCAACAGTTATCAGCAATATTATTTTTGATGTTCCGGTCWTTTACTTATTGAGTTGTTATGTTTACAAGAATAACAATATAAGTATACAGGGAAGTATATTGGCGATTTAATAATATACTGCCATATATTATATACTAAACATAGTATCTTAGGAGTAACATTGTTCACACATAGCTTCCTCTATTGTCGGTTTTAACAGGAAAATATAGTATCTTATAAATCATAATAATATTCATAAATTATCTTAATAGATGGGCGCAATTTCAATAATAAAAACTAAGGGTGCTTATGCTTTGCATTTTGTCATTTTAGTTTTTTTTTTTTGAAAAAAGAAGTTTTTGATACTTAAGCACGTGCATTATTTGAGAGTGCAAATACCCCTAACCCCCCCCCCTATTTGTGCCTATTTCTTTTAATTAATATTTATGAATAAATTTTTTTATTCATTCCACCGTGGGCAGTATTTATTATTCTTATTTTTTTCGTGTGTAAGAATTGTAATCATTTAAAGAAATTGTTTTATTTAATAATATTTTTTCAATATTATTGTGCTATTTTTGGTTGCAATAACTGTAAAATACAGTTTAATTCACTTAAACATAAAATGTGTATACTTAACAGTTAACCTATTGGCTATTATATTATAAAATGATACTATTTGGTGTATAATGATTATTTTGTAATTATATAGTAATTTCTTGATACTAACAATAACCATMGGTGTRTCGATTGTTTATAGGGTATGGCGTGGCCGTCGGTACATCATCTAACCGCACATTGGGTACCACCGAACAAGAGGAGCAAATTCATTACAGCATATTTTGGTCATTAGTTAAAATTAATATTTTATTTTCCCAACACTTTACTATAATATTAAGCCCACTATAACGTTTACAAAAGTTAAAAGTATAATAACTAATATTACATTTTTATTAATTAATATGGTTGCGATTTGAGTCCAAAGGAGTTGTTAAATTAAAATTATGTTCGTACTTTAGATTCAATAATTAAAATTTATAGTTTTATAACATTTCAAAAAAATTTATTACAGCGTACAAAGGCATAATCATTATTTTCATTAAATTTATTGATTTATTAAGTTCTAATACAATATTCAGAAAGATACCTATTAAAATATTTATTTACAACCTACATTTGAGGTGAATTCGATAGGTTATTATTTATATATACGGAAATTTATTTTGAATTTTTTTATACTTGCAACAAAAATTAAAATATTAAATTCCACAAAAAATCAAAATTTTCTTATACATCGTACGTTTCTAAAGATTAGTATAGGTATTTCTGAACAAACATTGATGTATAATATTTTAAAATGTATTATACATTAATAATTGTTAAACACTTAAAAATATTTAAGTTTTAAATCTTTTAAATCATGTACATCATAAAAACTCAAATTATATTATTTTAGAGGTCTAAAATAGCCATTGGCAATGTTCAGGATTGGGCAAGATACTAAAAAAAAGTATCATGATGTATTAATGTATGATACATGATACATACATTTAGTGAATGTAGAAAAGATATAAGATACATGTATCAAAGATACTTGAATACATAATGATACCTTTACATTTCCRATCGAATTGTATTTACTATTAAACTTTTTTCGTTATCGTTAATTTCAATTCGATTGCACCTGGAATATTTTTCGTAAGAATACATAATTCCTTGACGAAATATTATCTAATATCAAAAATCGAAATGTCTTAATACTATTCAGTATACACATTTTTACAATAACAGTATCTTGTATCTTTTGAAAAWAAAGATACAAAATACTAGTATAAAATGTATCAAGATACTTGATACTTTAAAATTATGTATCTTTGATACTGTCCAATCTTGACCATATTATACCTATTTAAAACTGACATAAATTGTTGTAATTTTGAGATCCTAATTCCTAGTGCAAGTGTGGGATTTATCGATTCCGTCAAAAATTCGAAACTACCTGTTTTGGAAAAAGGTTTAGATTATTGATTCCGTTGACGACTGTATACAATATCTACATCATCTACATCCTACATATCGAAATCATTGGCTATTGATTCCAATGAATAGTATTCATATTAAGTATCAATTGATTCCACCAAGTCCAAATTTTTTAAATATTAAAAAATAATAATAAACTCAAAATTTATATCAATAAAATATTGATCAAGCATTTATTTTAGACAATTTAATCTACTGAATTATTATATTATATTTATAATTATTTATATATTTCTAGGTATTTAGACGGAATTTATTATATCGTTTTTTGTTTACGTTCGTCGTAGGTTATAAATATTGAGATGATTTTTTTTTTTATAAATGACAAATCATTCATTATTTCATA